AATTTTACATGTTTACATTTAGGTAACAAGGTTCTTATCCAGCCTCTGTATTATAGCTGCAACATTAAATTCAAAACAGGTAGTTCCCCCTATTTTAGCAGCTAAATCTTTTGGTTAATTAGTGCCGAGGCCAATCACACACAGACGCACCCAGTTTTGTAAACAAATACAAGACTGAAAGACGCATGCAGGACATGCCATCGCTCTGACTCATGTGTGTCTTTATGTGTTATTTCTATGCCATGTTTAGTTTTCACCAAACATGGTGCTGTGCATTATGTCCACAGCCAAGTCTTAGTCTTCTAGAGGTTTTGTGTTTTGTTCCCCTCCAAACAAGCCTTTCTTTATCCGTCGTGTTCGAATTGTACTTTCATGCTGACTGAGGTCTGTAGCGTCTGAGATGTAGCGCTAGGATTTCTCTGAGGATTGCATGGTCTGATCTTGGGGTGAATTTGCTGGGACGTCCACTCCAGTCACAACCAGTCACCGTCTGTGAATAGGGTTTTTATGTGTTACTTAATTCCAGTAAGTAGTTCATTATGATTACTGATAGGGCGGTAATCATAATGAACCCGTCACTGTCTGTGACTGGTTGTTTTTCAATTCCATTCCTGTCCTATTTAAAAATGTGTTTGTAAAATGATTATCATGATTGAAACCACAAGGCCAAATGTGCTTGACAAGGAATAAAGCTGCCCTTTATGATACAAAAGCTGCTGTAACTTTAACTTCTTCTGTTCTCCGTGTATTTTGGAACTGGGGGAGGTTGTGCTTGAAAGCTTTACTCTGATTTAATGCCAAAATCTGTGACTCTTAACTTGAAGTGTAACATCTTTTAGTTCCTGAAAATTTACCAAGCGATTAAAAAAAAAAAACCATTAAGACCTTTAAGAGAATTAAGAGAATGAGCTGCTCAGTCACCTCAATAACATTTCTTTTTTTTAATGTTTAAATGCTTGTTTCTTATGCAGCCTTTTAGTAAAAGCAGCTCTTTAACTGGAACTGGAAAGTGAAACGCAATTCATACTTGGAACTGTTTTTCGTAAGAGTAGTAAGAAGATGCTGATTTCAAATTGTGTTTAAAGTACCGAGACGTACAAGTCTTCTTCAAGATGTGAAATAACATAAGCACTGAAAAGTCAGGGGAATGACGTTCCCAAGCAACACAGTCCAAGGACACGAGGAATGATGAAGGTGGTAGGAAATATGCACTGATACGAAATACGAAATAAACCTAATTTATGTCTAGAGGTTATAGATGGCAGGAAGAGGACCGTGTTAATGGTTTAGGCGTTTGTTTAACCAGAAAATTAAATATCTTCAGCTGCCAAAGTCATGATACAGACAGCAAAGGTCAGAACTTGAAAGAAGACACAGTGTGATGAAGGATGTTGGGTCTAGTAATGCTTCAGATTCCTGTCGACTTTTTATTACTTTGTTGAAGGAACATGATGAATTTAAAGTGTATCATCAGTTTTAAATGTACATGAGCTGAGTGCATATTATCTCATATGGAAAAGATCTAAATCTTATAAAGTTTGTATCTGTCTTGTGTGAAACTTGTATGAAAAGCATACAAGAATTAAAACAGATATAAGATCCCTTGAAAAATGATATAAATGAAACTTGTATGTTTTGGATACTTACTAAAACAATATATGAAAGTAATGAGAAAGTGGCCACTTTCATGAGTAAATCATGTAAGCCTTATATGACTCACTATATGAAGTAGGCCACATCTTATGCAAAGTTTTTTCTATTTCTTTTCTATATGGGATATTACACACGGATATTTAATCATGGATCTGGCAGGTTACCTGTAGATGATCCCACTCAAACTGATCACCATGACTACTGATGTTCTAAGAAGTGGGTCTCTCAAGTCTTTCTATCATTATCATTCGATACTGGTGTATCCACCGTAAAGGGCATCCATGTGGGTGCTCGTCACACGTGGTGTGTCGCTAACATATACGCCACGCCATCATATATCAACAGGATCCCAGGATACGCTCAGTGAAACTAAAAACAAGCTGAGCTCAATACCTGCCTATTTTGCTTTGCATTTTCATCACTTGAAGTCAATGAAAGTCATTAATGTTCCACAGGGTGTGGTTTCCACATCACAGCAGTCTGCATCCTATGTGGACGATTAGGAAGGGCTGCACGATTACAGCCAACACAGTTCAACATTGAGATCATAATAATTTGTCACAACTTTTCATTGACTGCAGTGACAACATGTTTTTATTTCAATATAAACACAACAATGCTTTTACATCTGTACTTTATGTAGAAACACTATATTTCCAAAATTATTCACCCACACATTATATTCCAAGTGCAAAACTAACCCGGAGACTATCCACCACATAGTAGCAAGAACTAAGATGGAGGCTGAAGCAGCATACACTCAGAAGCACATCCAAGCGACTGTCAAACTCCTGATTTATGGTAAGGTTGGGGTCATCACTGATGAAGTCGTCTCCTCATGGGATTAAAAGAGAAATTTGTTTTAAAAAAACAAAGGGCATCCATATGGATAGACACTTTCAGCGATTGCCCAACGCTGAATAGCACAGAAACTGAGCAAAATTAGAAAACTGTGGCACTAAGTGGGCAGGCTCACAGCTAAATTTAGCAAGTAAACTATCCAAACAGAGCCTGGAATGTCAACTAGCAACCAACTACATTGACATAGTTAAAGGCCATGTCATACATAAGGAATTTCCGTTTGGATTTAGTTTCAGGTTTCATTTTCATTCATAAAATTCTGTCTCAACATGTACCTTTGGTGGTTAGGGGAAAATTTAACTGAAAAAATTGAAAAATAAAAGTACAAAGGAAGGAGGTATTTCTTGTAGTGCTCTTTGGTACATTGCAGTGGAATGAGTGGTTTGCTGAACCTGCTTCTGCGTGAGATGAGGCATGTGTGACGGAGATTCAAGCTCCAAACCAATACATAACCTCACTGACTTATAAATCACTTTCTTTAGTCTTTTAGTATTTGATGCCCCTGTGCACCCCACCATAGAGCACAGCACTGAACCCCAGGCACATAAAAGTCCTGTTTATTGTCATACATCTGTACCTCTGTATTGTATGAGTGATTTTGTTCTCCTGATGTTCACAAACAAGTTTTCCTGTTATTTCTAGTAATTTGATTTTTAAAAATGTATATGGTGCTGAAGTAATTGAATCCCTAATTTTAAAAATTGTTTAAAAGTCTTCTCATTAAAAGTCCTTTCATGGTGATTTTCCCACTGAGGAAAGGCCAAAACTTCTTTGCGGAGGGCACCAAATTTGTTTGTATGCAAACAAAATTAAAGTACATTTTACTGCTTTCAGTAAAATTCAACTTTTATTTTCTGTCTCCTGCTGCTGGCTTGAATGCCCCATATTTGGAGTGTAGACACTTTTATTAAGTCTTCATTACATGGATGACGTTATTACCGTCATGGCTGACCATAAACTTAAAGGTTACAGTGGTGGTCAGACCAGTTCCTGTACATTCTTGTGGGGCTGGCGTGCAGCTCATTTGTCAGTCAAATATTTTTGGTTGGGCTTATAATCCTTTTCCAGCTGAGTCTAAACATAGTAAACGCCCAAACAGGGCACCTAAGATCTAATTCATTTGCAAACAGAAATGGAAATCATCATAACAGAAGACCAAAAGTACATTTTTGAAGCCATAAAGGTCTTAAATATGAACTGTGTGGCACCCATCAGTATAAATGCAGACTTTATAAATGACTTTTAAAATAATGTTCAGCTTTAAAAACAGCAAGCTGCTGTAGTGAACTATTTACCTTGTAGTGTTCACTCTTTAACTTTAGTTAACAGTTGATTAAAAGTGTGAATAGCCTTTGGAACTAAAGGTTCTTCGGTCAATGTCATTTGTATGCTCTGTTTACACACTACATAGCAGATCTGTATGAGTGAGACAGACTACAAAAAACTTATGCCACAAAACCAATCTCCAAAACCTCACAGCACTTTAGTAATCTGAATGATTCCTATAAAAGCCATGGATTACTGTTGGCTGCTACTGGCCTATTAGTCACACATAGCTAACAATAATCAACTGGCAATAACAATGATGTGTGTGTGTGTGTGTGTGTGTGTGTGTGTGTGTGTGTGTGTGTGTGTGTGTGTGTGTGTGTGTGTGTGTGTGTGTGTGTGAATGTGTAAAAATATTACTAGTATTATAAATCAGTAATGTCATACCTGATACTCAATGGGACATTAATAGGATTGTGTAAATACATATAGTGCATGAAGCTGAACTCGGATTAAAGTAAAGTGAAACAGGTGGCAGCTCTGGCAATAACCTTCTTCAAATACAATAAAGGTATAGATGGCCAGTTACTATTACTGTGGTTGGTTTGTGATTGTCTCCAAGGTATGTGTATCATACATAAACACTGATAACAATTCCAAAGAGCCCTCATTTCTCCCCAGAAATGTTACTTTGGTGAGCTCTGGGCTCTCACTCAAGTCAGAACTCACTGTAAAATCAGGTCACTTACACAAACACGAAGAACAATTAAAATTACAGGCAGGAGTGACTAAAACGCCCACTCTCCACCTGAACTCCAACTTCTATTAACCTAAAAACACAGTTTGGTCTTATAACACTCAAAAAGGCCACACTTCATTCATATGTAAATGTAACAAGGTAGCAACTATAGAAAGTCGGAAAATGCCACCAACATCATTATATGTTGGCAGGTGACGGATAACAGTACAGCTACTGAATCTCTGAATAGTCTGTTTGACTCTTTATGTTTTATACATCTTTCTGGCATATTTTTCTAACACATATACAGACTATTTCCGAAAGTTATTAATTGTGAGTGCTACTGAAGCCTGGACAATAGGGGCTCTGAGATACAGTATTCAATAAAAACAGAAAGTCCACAGAGCAACCAACCAGTGTCACCACTTTATTTCACCGAAGAGCCGAAAGTTGGTAACGGCTGGCTGGCAGTATTACTCACCGCCTCCTAAGCCTAGCAGCCGGCAGATATCTCTGGTGAACTTCATCAGCTTTTACCGTCCACACATTAGCGGCCTCACTCGGCATTAAATCCCAGCTGTCCCTCTGTACACAGTCACACACTTCCACCCTTCATTAAGCGCCGACAGCTCACCGGTGCCAGTACCGGCTCATATGAAACATTCCCCGCTGATCCGCCTCCGATTGTACGGTCATCAAGTTAACTGGATTACAGCAAAACACTCTTCCGGTTATTGCTTTCAACAATAAAATAGGAAAAACGGCTTCCTTTCCACACCCATCAAAATAAAACCGCGGAAGCGTTAACGTCGGTCTTTTCATAATTTCAATAAAGGCTTGACATCAAACTGCGAGATTTACACGTTGAAAAGAATAGAAAACAATATAATATTTAAAGATCAATAAATTGTACAACTACAATTATTTTCTTGTGGGTTTTATTTAATGTTTTGTCAATAATTTTGTTTTACTTGCATTTTAGATTCATTTATTTCATTCTGTTAACTGTTCCAGCATGTAACTATAATTCCCTATGAGGGTTTAATTCTGAATAAACTATCCTTTTTTTTTACATGTATTCACTTCAACTGAAGATTAATTGAAGATTAAAAATATTAAATCCTGTAGTAAAGCCATCAACAGGGGATATGAAAGGAGCATATCGTTAGCTTCATGGCATAGGTGCCTAGGTCGTTTTTTTTTGTTTTCGGAAAACAAGAAAAAACTAATTTTCTAAATAGCACATGCATATTTTTAATTGATATTTTCAATTTGACCAAAAAATGACTTAGGCACTTATGCTATGAAGCTAACGATATACAAATGACATAGTGATTCACATCAAATGCCTCTCAACACATTTTCTACTGTATCATAAGCACCAAATTTTGCTTATAAGACAGCAAATTTAAATATGTACTCATTTGGTTTTCTTTCTTCTGTTTAAATGAAGTTTAAGCTGTTTGAAGCCCAGTAAAAACAATGGTTTTTTTCCAAACTTTATTTGAAATTATAAAGTGAACAGTCAGTCATTCCAGTTCAGTTTGTAAAAAAAACAATGTATTTGAGGGTTTACTTGAGCAGATGTGAAATGTAACAGTGAGGTCAGAGGTCAAATGTGACATGATATTTGGATGTTTAGAATACCAGTACCATTTACTAAAAGGAAGTATACAATAAGAAGCTGTAGCAGAAAAACAAATATGGAAACTTATTAGAAATTTTTATATTTGGTTATGGTTTAATTAATTAATTAAATATATAGATTTCTGCTGAAAGCATGGTGTGTGATGTGGTGATGGTGAGGGGGTCTGCACTTGCCTCTAATCTGCTGTCATATACATCCGTCCAATCCCCCCGTTCTGTAATGCTGAAAGACAGCAGGCTGAACCAATAAAACGTCGCTTTAGCAGAGCTTTCAACCAATCATCGACAGCAGCGACTGATTTGGGCGGGTCCCTAACAGAAGCGACAGACTGGCTCAGCGGCCATTGAAGCATCTTTATCTTCAAAAGGACAAGCAGAGATTTTTTTTGTACATCTGCGGGGTCCTGCGGACTGAAGCCATGGTCTATCATTCTCTCGCCCTGCCGATGATCTGCTTCACCACGTTATGGGCGTTGGTGGGGGTCGTAGCTCCGTTTTTAGTGCCCAAAGGACCCAATCGGGGGTAGGTGCTTTTAATTGGATACAATTAACGACATCATTTTGCGTTCCCTTTCATTTGACAGTGTTATTATTATACTTTGTAACTATAATTGTATTTTCCTTGCTGTTAGTGTTTTCGCTGTGTCGGTCGGAAAGAATCTTTAGATATATGCGACGCGCGCGAGCGTGCTCCTGATCCTCTTCTGGTGATGGAGGCCCAGCGTCATCCACGAAACAGTCATTCAGCTATCCCTCCATCCAAACACACACACACACACACACACACACACACTACCAGTAATTTCAAAGGTCGAGTCGGCAGGGATAATGTGGGCTCGTTTGGACAAAAGTCATTCTGATGGTTTTATTTGTGAAAAGCAGAGTACGGGGAAGATTGTAAGTCGTGGAGTCAGGGCCAGTCTCCTTGAAAAACTGTGTGATTACAATATTTCTATCGTTTGTGCATTAATGTCCAGTATTGCTCAGTATGTGACTCGGGATCTAATTTTAATAATGTTTGCTTATGAATGTTATAATAGTAAAAGTGGGCACGTGTGACTCTGACTCCTCTGCTCTCTCTGACAGTGTGATTGTCACCAGTCTGATCCTTACAGCGATCTGTTGCTACTTGTTGTAAGTACCTACTTGCTTACTCTTCTTTGGTATGTAGCTGTTGTCATTTTGCATGTTGGCCACTTTGTTAAGTACACCTGCTCAAGGGCTCATTAATGCAGGGATCTAATCATCCAATCACATTCGAGCGACTTAAAGAATTTAGGTATGTAGACTCCTTGCTGAAGCTCAAACTGATCATTAGAATAGATAAGAAAGGTGATTGAAATATGACTTTGAATGGGGAATGGCTGTTGGTGCCAAGCAATGGTGATCCAGTGAGCTGCAGTAACCTGGGCTAAAATGCCTTGTTGATGCCAGAGATGAGAGGAGAATGGCCAGACTGCTTTGAGCTGATAGGAAGGCGACAGTAACTCAAATAACCACTTGTTACAACTGAGGTGTGCAGAAGCATCTCTTAGCATGCAACACTTTGAAGCTTCAAGCCGATGGATTACAGCAGCGGAAGACCACACCGTTACCACTCCTGCTCTTTTATTTAGCACAAACTCACAAAACATTTTCAAAGGAAGACTGTAAAAACAATGTCTGGTCTAATGAGTCTTAGATTCTGTTGCAGCCTTTGGTTGGTCTGGTCAGAATTTGGCATAAGGAACATGAAAGCATGGATCCACCATGCCTTGTGTCCCCAGTTCAAGTTAGCTGTCGTGTAATGATTTGGGGAAATGGCTTCTGCTACACGCTGGAGCTCAAATCGTCTCAAACTCTTGAACATGGCAGTGAGTTGACTGAACTCCAATGGCCTCCACAGTCACCAGATATTAATCCAATAGAGCACCTTTGAGATTTGGAGAGTGAAAGATAGAGATTGTTAGTGAGGTGTAACTAATAAAGAGTCTGATGTTCAACTGTTTGCATGAAGCTAAAATTTGGTTATCACATAATTTTCTTACATTGAACGAGAATAAGACCGAAATCATAGTCTTTGGTAGTCACACTCCGCTAGACCAGTTAGCTGATGCCCTAGGCCCTCTCGCTAGCCATCTCTTGCTCACTGTAAGGAACCTCGGAGTGTTCCTGGATGGCTCTTTTAAACTTGAGAAACAGGTGTCCACTGTGGTAAAAAACAGCTTTTGCCAGTTGCGTCACATATCTAAAGCAAAGCCATTCCTTCCTTTAAAGGACCTTGAAAAGCTTGTCCACACATTTATCACATCCAGATTGGACTACTGTAACTCCTTCTACTCGGGCCTCCAACACTCTTCTCTTTACCGGCTTCAGTTAATTCAAAATGCAGCTGCGCGTCTTTTAACAGGTACGAGAATCCATGAACACATAACTCCAATTTTAGCCAAACTACATTGGCTCCCTGTTAAATATCGCATAGATTTTAAAATTCTTTTGTTCACTTTTAAAATTCTGAATAATTTAGCGCCCACCTATCTCTCTGAACTACTCCTCTTATACAATCCCAACAGAGCACTTAGATCATCCAATCACAGGCTCCTAGCACAACCTAGGTTTCGAATGAAGTCGAGAGGTGACCGGGTCTTTGCAACCGTGGCACCCAGACTCTGGAATAACCTCCCTGTTCATATTCGTACTGCAGAGTCTATCCAGTCTTTTAAATCACGTCTTAAAACGTATCTTTTTACTTCGGCCTTTGATTCTAACTAGTTGGCTGTTTTAGCTTGTTGTGTTGTTACCTATTGTTTGTTGTCCTGTTTCATTGTTTGTTTTAATTGTCTCATGTTTTTACTGACTGTGAAGCACTATGGTCAACACTGTTGTTTTAATATGTGCTATATAAATACATTTTGATTTGATTTGTATTTGCCACAGGCTTACTAGCAAATTGAGAATTTTTAGAGGCACAGAGGGGACAGGGTCTTTTTACCTGGCTCTATCTCCAAGGGTAAATTTGTGCCAAATACATGACATAAGTTACCATTGGTTTCATAAGAATATGAAACCATGTTATTTATTTTTTTATTTTTTTTACTGTAAATAAAATGTTTTTTGTGGCTGTAGCATTTTAGTGACCAACATATGAAGTATGAAAATAAACATCAGTGTTTCCTCACACACAGACCAGTTCAGTGACCTGCCCAGGAATGTTGACTGCTGTGGAAATATATTTGGTGACTCACGTTAGGATTTTTTTTTTTTTTTTTTTACAATTTATCTGACAGAACAACACTAGCAGGCAGTCCCCTTGCTCTTATTTTGAAAGTTCAGTCACTGCTTACCATTGAGGTCTGGCCCTTCCTGTGTGTTGTTTGTGTGCCCGTTGAACTCTTGCCAGGCTGATATTGAGCCAGTCCTCAGTGTCATTCAGCTGCTTCCCCACTGACGATCTCACTCCCACAGTCACCCACACTCCAACATCTGGGACTGCAGCTGCACACGTAACTCTTGCTCTACTCTTTAAAATCTGCTCTGTGCTGGAGAGTCACTGTAGTCATAACCTGCAGCAGGTCATGTGGTGGAAACTCGTGCGTGCTGATACACATGAAGCGAGAAGATCTACAGCTACGTTTTAAAAAGCAACAGTGATGAATAGGTTGTTAATTAAGCAATAATGTTCGTCATAGTTTTCTTCTACAAAAACAAGATGATAATGCATGAGGACAAAAACTGTGATGAAATGTATTGACACTTTTTTCAATAAACAAGGTGAAAATGGAGATGAGACCCAGATAGAACCAGTTAAGTTGTGTAGAAAGGCGAGCCAAGTTTGGAAGTGGTCGCCTTGTGCAGTAAGGATAGACGTGCTGTTTGATGTCCAGGAAAATAAGACGCTTTGTAAACCTTGTGGATCAACTCTCACCAATAAAAACACAACAGACTTTTACACTTTTACTCAACTGAATCAACTAAAATCCAACTTTTAACTCGTTATTTCTATCAGCTAACAGCTCCATGCTGCTTTCATGGGAGGCGAGGGAAATCAAGGAAAATGGATGCTCTCTGC